AAACCCAGTGAACCACCCCTTTACATGGTCATGTGGTGAACAACTGAACATTGTTTATTAAAAGCACAAACATTACATATAATCTCTCAATTAATCCGAGGTCCTGAAAGCTGTATGCATAATAATTGAAAAAAAATTTTTAATATTGAATTAATATCACTGAGCAAGAGTGATGAAAACCAGCACAGCCTTAGTATTGAAGCATGATTGTGAGTGGTTTTTATACACCAGTTCAGTAAAAATGAAGTTAAAGGGATAGTCCATTGCATAATTTTTGCAGAACACAGAATAATTTTAAAAGATTGTTTTGTTTTATTTTTTATTTTTTTACAATGAAAGTCATTAGGGTCCAATCATTTTGTGTTCTGCAGAAGAAAGAAAATCATACAGGTTTAAAATGATACAAGTGTGCCAAATTATGCCAAAATATAGCCTTGTAGTTCCCTTTTTCTCCTCCACTATCAGTTCGTATGGACCGGGACAGAATATTTGGGGGAAAAAAAGCAGCTTCCTCTCCTCTTTCCTTTTCTTTTCATCCCAGCTATCCAAACAGGATGCATTAATAATAGTCTTCTTTATCTGATTTTTTTGTTTTAATATTAGCAGTACTGTGGCCTTTTACACAAAGCTGATTTCAGTGGCTACCCAGGTAAGCTTGAGATTAGTTTGAGCAAACTCAAACTTTTCTTGAAGATGGAGTGGTTTTAGCGTGAAACACATTCTGGTTAAGATATATATATATGGATTCACAGGTTTCAAAATCAATGTTCAAAAGCAGCGGTTCTCAATACTGTTCCTCGCGTTGCCCCGCTCTTCACACGCTCTGCATCTCTCTCTCTCTCTCTCTCTCATTCAGCTCAGCTCTGACAATGAACTGTTCCAATTATACTCTTATTTTCACATAGCTATGAGAAGCATTAAACATGGACGCGCATGCGGTTGCTGTACTGTATTAAAGCTTTAATCAGGATAAAACCGTATATTAAAAGCTAACATAAGCAGTAGCATTTACAACAGTATCTAAAAGTAATGTATGAGACAACAACAAACAAAAAAAACATAGGCCTACCATTAAAAGCCGTGCTTGCACAAGTTCTGCGCGATCCTCTTCAATAATGTCCTCTGCTTCTCAATCGGCTCAAACTGATAAGTGATATTAATGACGCCGTTGTTTACAATACAACTGGAGCACATGCTGCTGAGGTGAGGGGCGGGACGCTTAGACGTGCACTAGAGGCGGTTTAGCCAATCACAACAAACTGGGCTAGCTAACCAATCAGAGCCCATCGCCTATTTCTGAGGGCGGGGCTTCATAAAAACAGGAAAAGATCAGTCCGTTTCTCAGAGAAGGGACAGAGCTGTGTGGAACAAAGGTAAATTATGTGAAAAAAATGTTTTTTAACCGAAGCATTAACACATGTTAAACTGCAACCCATAAACACAATCAAGCCTAGAAAAAACCCAGTGAACCACCCCTTTACATGGTCATGTGGTGAACAACTGAACATTGTTTATTAAAAGCACAAACATTACATATAATCTCTCAATTAATCCGAGGTCCTGAAAGCTGTATGCATAATAATTGAAAAAAAATTTTTAATATTGAATTAATATCACTGAGCAAGAGTGATGAAAACCAGCACAGCCTTAGTATTGAAGCATGATTGTGAGTGGTTTTTATACACCAGTTCAGTAAAAATGAAGTTAAAGGGATAGTCCATTGCATAATTTTTGCAGAACACAGAATAATTTTAAAAGATTGTTTTGTTTTATTTTTTATTTTTTTACAATGAAAGTCATTAGGGTCCAATCATTTTGTGTTCTGCAGAAGAAAGAAAATCATACAGGTTTAAAATGATACAAGTGTGCCAAATTATGCCAAAATATAGCCTTGTAGTTCCCTTTTTCTCCTCCACTATCAGTTCGTATGGACCGGGACAGAATATTTGGGGGAAAAAAAGCAGCTTCCTCTCCTCTTTCCTTTTCTTTTCATCCCAGCTATCCAAACAGGATGCATTAATAATAGTCTTCTTTATCTGATTTTTTTGTTTTAATATTAGCAGTACTGTGGCCTTTTACACAAAGCTGATTTCAGTGGCTACCCAGGTAAGCTTGAGATTAGTTTGAGCAAACTCAAACTTTTCTTGAAGATGGAGTGGTTTTAGCGTGAAACACATTCTGGTAATATAAATATATATATATATATATATATAAATATAAATATATAAATAAATAAAGCTTTAGAATATACAAAGCATTTAAAATGGCAAAGCTTACATGTTTTAAGCTTTTGTGTGAACCTATAAAAATTAAGTTAATTCAGTTGATTCGCATTAATATAGTCACATATTTTCATTCATTTACCTTCACAAACTTTCGTTTTACCTTCTTGCAAATGCGTTCAAATTCTTGACAATTTTCATAACAATCCCTTAACCTTCAACAGAGAAGTGAATTGCGTAAACTCTGGATCAAACCTGTGTGAACCAAATGAACCTGATCTGAACTGGTTTGGATTTGTTTGGTTTTGTCAACTCTAAACCTATTCTGAGTTTGTTCAGTCAGCTTTGTGTAACAGGCCACTGGTCTCTCATCTTATCATTCGTCTGGCTAATTCATTACTGTATTTATTGCATTAGTTATGAGATCGCAATACATGTCATTAAAATAGTATTCAGTGTAAATTATAATCTATGGTTTGTTGTTCAACAGGCTCTCAAAGATGAGATTAAAGCCATGCACGGTCTACGCATATTCACTGATGTACCTAGAAAGTAGGAACTGCTCAGCGTCATTCTCACATCATGTCAGTCTGCCGTCTCACTACGATATTATATCACACACCTCAGTCTGTCTCTCTTTATAAAGTAAATTATGCAGAGTTTTAACAGTGGCAGAGGAGTAATTTACAGATGTTATTAATAAACGATGCACAGTTATAAAAAGATAGATATGGTTCACAAATGCTGTAATACGCACAAAATAAAAGACTGTCATTTTTTTTTTTTTGCCTGTAAATTAGAGTGTGAAAGAAAAACGTAAATGAGAGTGTGCAAGGCATGTGCATGGGTTGAATCTTCAGTCATTGTTCAGTAGTTTATTGATCCCGTTGTCTGTGTACAATCACACTTGGAAGTAGCTTTTGTCAGTTGTCTGATTTATTTTCTGTTCTGTCATTAGGTCTGTTGATCCATTAAATTATATCACATCCTTTCCCCTTGTGTGGCAGAAGATTGATTGTATTCTAGGACAAGAAAACCAGATGTTTTAAAGGGGTCATATGATGCTGCTAAAAAGAACATTATTTTGTGTATTTGGTGTAATGAAATGTGTTTATGCGGTTTAAGGTTCAAAA